CTGGGAAATAGAGGGAGAAAACGTGGAGGCCGTGACAGACTTTGTATTTCTAGGTGCAAAGATTACTGCAGATTCAGCCTGTGGCCAGGAAATCAGAAGACACTTACTTCTTGGGAGGAGAGCAATGTCCAATCTCGATAAAATAGTAAAGAGTAGAGACATCACACTGGCAACAAAGATCCGCCTAGTCAAAGCCATGGTATTCCCTGTAGTAACCTACGGATGTGAGAGCTGGACCTAGGGAAGGCTGAGCGAAGGAAGATCGATGCTTTTGAGCTGTGGTGTTGGAGGAAAGTTCTGAGAGTGCCTTGGACTGCGAGAAGATCCAACCAGTCCACCCTCCAGGAAATAAAGCCCGACTGCTCACTGGAGGGAAGGATACTAGAGACAAAGTTGAAGTACTTTGGCCACATCATGAGGAGACAGCAAAGCCTAGAGAAGACAATTATGCTGGGGAAAGTGGAAGGCAAAAGGAAGAGGGCCGACCAAGGGCAAGATGGATGGATGGCATCCTTGAAGTGACTGGACTGACCTTGAAGGAGCTGGGGGTGGTGACGGCTGACAGGGAGCTCTGGCGTGGGCTGGTCCATGAGGTCACGAAGAGTCGGAGACGACTGAACGAATGAACAACAACAACAAGAAAAAAATGTTTTTTATATTGTCAAAGGCTTTCACGGCTGGAATCACTGGGTTGTTGTAAGTTTTTTTGGGCTGTATGGCCATGCTCCAGAAGCATTCTCTCCTGATGTTTCACCTGCATCTATGGCAGGCATCTTCAGAGGTTGTGAGGTCTGTTGGAAACTAGAAAAATGGGGTTGATATGTCTGTGGAAACTCCAGGGTGGGAGAAAGAACTCTTATTGTCTGAGATAGGTGTGAGTGTTTCAATTGGCCACCTTGATTAGCATTTACTGGCCTAACAGTTTCAAGGTCTGGCTTCTTACTGCTTGGTGGAATCCTTTGTTAGGATGTGATTAGCAGGCCCTGATTGCTTCTTATCTGAAATTCCCCTGTTTTTGAGTGTGGTTCTTTATTTACTGTTCTAATTTTAGAGTTTTTTTTAATACTGGTAGCCAGATTTTGCTCATTTTCATGGTTTCTTCCTTTTTGTTGAAATTGCCCACATGCTTGTGGATTTCAGTGGCTTCTCTGTATAGTCTGACATGGTGGTTGTTAGAGTGATCCAGCATTTCTGTGTTCTCAAATAATATGCTGTGTCCAGGCTGGTTCATCGGGTGCTCTGCTATGTCTGACTTCTCTGGTTGAAGTAGTCTTCAACGAGTGTGAATTGAAACATTCACACTTGCCTCAAACGGCAAGAGTTCTTTCTCCCACCCTGGACATTATTCCACAGATATAGAAACCTCACTTGCCTAGTTTCCAACGGACCTCACAACCTCTGAAGATGCCTCCCATAGATGCTGACGAAACGTCAGGAGAGAATGTTTCTGGAACATGGCCATACAGCCTGGAAAACTCACAACAACCCAAATATGTTTTTGTTGGGCTATGTTTACAGTCTGAGAGGAGGCAGTAGACAATACTTATGTTCTGTAAACACTTTAAAAGGAACAGACAAGCCTTGCATACTGTATCTGGGATGGAAGCATTTGGGTGCCAAGGGGATGGAGGTTTGCCACACAGACATCAAGCACAACTTTCAAAGATCATGCTAAAAATCATCGTTGGAAGAGAACTAGCAAAAATGTGGGAAACAGTTTGTTGAGTCTGGATGTAGGATCAGAGAGTGAGATGGTCATAGAAGTAGGTACACAAGACAAGGCACAGCAATGGAGATCCCAGTTTGACTCCCAGTGGATTTGTCCAAGCCTTATCCCTTTAAAAACCCACAGTAACTGATAAGACGGCATTATTCACAGATATTTGTTTGTTGATTTCAGAATTTCATTACTATGCTTTGGCTGTCTGACATTGACTAATGGCTTTGTGTGGCTGATTGTGGTCTTGGCGTTCAGCCAATGTAAAGGGAAGAGGAAATCAGAGCCATTGCAACCATAAGCTGTACATGCTCGTTGCTTTGGTATATCTTTCATGGTCGTCACTTAGACCTTTGGTTTCAGCAATTACCTGTGTTTATTTTATCACTTCCCCATTGCTGACCTGTTGAGGTGTGACAGCCCCAGTTATCACCACTTGAATTATTCTCTAGCACCTTAAATATCGTGTCGTGGCTCAATACCATTGCTTTCTGCTACCTATACTCTGTTAAAGTTCAGGGATGGAAGACTCACAGAGTTTCGTGCATGCCTCTTGGGTTTTTAAACAGTAAAGAAGAACCACAAGGTGCATAAACCCAACACAGCAAGAAACACACAGAACACAGAATCATAGAATCATAGAGTTGGAAAAGACCTCATGGGCCATCCAGTCCAACCCCCTTCCAAGAAGCAGGAATATTGCATTCAAAGCACCCCTGAGAGATGGCCATCCAGCCTCTGCTCGAAAGCCTCCAAAGAAGGAACCTCCACCACACTCCGGGGCAGAGAGTTCCACTGCTGAACGGCTCTCACAGTCAGGAAGTTCTTCCTCATGTTCAGATGGAATCTCCTTTCTTGTAGTTTGAAGCCATTGTTCCCTTGCGTCCTAGTCTCCAGGGAAGCAGCAAACAAGCTTGCTCCCTCCTCCCTGTGGCTTCCTCTCACATATTTATACATGGCTATCATATCTCCTCTCATATTTTCTCTTATGCACACAGTTTTCTCCAATGAAGTATTGTTTGGTATTTTGGATCTTATTTATCTCAATCAGACTTATATCTGAAAGATAAGGGTTTGGATTCTAGTTCTGTTAGAATCCAGAAGTACAGTATCCTGTGCACACATTTTTCTCCATCTGTAAAATGAAAATGAAAGCAGGGACAATAGCAAAGGACATCAGAAGAGTCAGGCTAAAACAGACTACTCAGTTCAGCATTCTGTTCCCACAGTGGCCAGAGAGATGCTCATGGGAAACTCACAAACAGAATATGAACACAAGAGCACTTCCCTGCTGTTATTCGCAAGTACGTTTCCTTTAATATGAAAAGTCATATGTAGCTATTGATAGGCAGCCATTTGTTGTTGAGATTGTGGTTGTGGTTGTTGTGTGACTGTCATGTTCAGCTCAGTCCCCTCATAGGATTTACTTTGCAAGATTTATTCAAAGGTGTTTTGCCACTGCTTTTTTTTTCTAAGGCAAGAGAATGGGGGAAAGGGGGGAGGATTCAAACCGTAGAACCATAGAATCATAGAGTTGGAAGAGACCTCATGGGCCATCCAATCCAACCCCCGGCCAAGAAACAGGAAAATTGGATTCAAAGCCCCCCTTACAGATGGCCATCCAGCCTCTGTTTAAAAGCTTCCAAAGAAGGAGCCTCTACCACACTCCGGGGCAGAGAGTTCCACTGCTGAACAGTTCTCACAGTCAGGAAGTTCTTCCTAATGTTCAGGTGGAATCTCCTTTCTTGTAGTTTGAAGCCATTATTCCATGTCCTAGTCCCAGGACAGCAGAAAACAATTCGCTCCCTCCTCCCTTTGACTTCCTCTCACATACTTATACATGGCTATCATGTCTCCTCTCAGCCTTCTCTTCTTCAGGCTAAACATGCCCAGCTCTTTAAGCCACTCCTCATAGGGCTTGTTCTCCATTTTAGTCGCCCTCCTCTGGATACATTCCAACATCTTAGATCAAGAAACAGCTTCCTAAAATCTACAGAGGTACTCATAGTAACACCTCAGCAAACGAGAGTCCAAAAGTGGCAGGCTAAAACCTGGAACCTCAATCTATGGCTGATACCGCTTAAGCAGCTGAGGGGGGAAAGGAAAGGGCCTGAGGCCAGGAATTATGGGAGTTGAAGTCCAAAGCACCCAGAAGGCGGAAGTTTGTCCATGCCTATTATAGAGTGTTGCCTCAAACTAGGGCTGAGTAAGAAGAAGAGAAAGGGAGAAGGAAGCCTTTTGTGCAGGAGAAAGCTGCCTGCCCATCTCCTGAGGTCTCAGTCTCAGTTGGTCCTGATGGGAGTCTCTTCCAGCTGATATTATTAGAATCATAAAATCATAAAAACATAGAATCATGGGCCATCCGGTCCAACCCCCTGCCAAGAAGCAGGAAAATCACATTCAAAGCACTCCTGACAGATGGCCATCCAGCCTCGAAGCCTATTGTGCAGGTAGAAGCTGCCTGCCCCATCTCCTGCAGTCTCAGTCTCAGTTGGTCCTGATGGGAGTCTCTTCCAGCTGATATTATTAGAATCATAGAATCATCAAATCATAGAATCATGGGCCATCCAGTCCAACCCCCTGCCAAGAAGCAGGAAAATCACATTCAAAGCACCCCTGACAGATGGCCATCCAGCCTCTGTTTAAAAGCTTCCAAAGAAGGAGCCTCTATCACACTCCGGGGCAGAGAGTTCCACTGCTGAACAGCTCTCACAGCCAGGAAGTTCTTCCTAATGTTCAGAAATGTCCTTTCTACAAGAAAGGACATTTCTTGTAGTTTGAAGCCATTATTCCATGTCCTAGTCCCCAGGACAGCAGAAAACAAGCTTGCTTCCTCCTCCCTGTGGCTTCCTCTCACATATTTATACATGGCTATCATATCTCCTCTCAGCCTTCTCTTCTTCAGGCTAAACATGCCCAGCTCTTTAAGCCGCTCCTCATAGGGTTTGTTCTCCAGACCGTTGATCATTTTAGTTACCCTCCTCTGGATACAAGTCCAAAGCACCTGGTAGGCTGAAGTTTGTCCATACCTATTATAGAGTGTTGCCTCAAACTAGGGCTGAGTAAGAAGATGAGAAAGGGAGAAGGAAGCCTTTTGTGCAGGTGGAAGCTGCCTGCCCATCTCCTGTGGTCTCAGTCTCAGTTGGTCCTGGTGGGAGTCTCTTCCAGCTGAGATGATTTTGTGAAGCTCTGGGCGTAGAAGCTTAGCTCCACCTTTTGGAAAGAAACGCTCCTGGCTCTTTTGCTGGGAGGTTTTGCCAGTTCCTTTGGAGGAAGGAGCAGCCAGGGAGAAGAGAGGAGTTACTCCGTTCCTTTCCCGACCCTCCTCTTTCCTTCCCTCCCAAACTCGGGGAAAGAAAAAGAGAAGGAAGAAGAAGAACGGAGAGAGAGAGAAAGACAAGCAGCTTTGCCTGGAACGAGAAGGAAAAGAGTGAGTGAACAAGACTGGAAAAGAAGAAGACAGAACCGCTCATCGCCGACGGCTGTGCGTAAAAGGGAATGCAGTGAGGAAAATCCGTTTCAGGGCTTGCTGTGTGGACTTTGGGGGCTGGCAGTGCAAGCGTATCTTCGCCCTTGCCATGCAGAGAGAGGGATCTCTGAGCCTTGCTGTCGGGGAGCGTCCGGGCAGGTCTTTCCAGGCAGGGACCCCCAACCAGGCGCCGGAGCCTCTGTGGTGCTGAAATGGACAGCTCCTCCTGGCCGCTGAACGGCTCCTCCGAGACCCCCGAGAAGCCCCCCGGGGGAGGCGAGCAGCTCCTGGGACGCTTCTCCACCCTGTGGGCCATCGTCCTGGCCGTCCTCATGGCCCTGCTCATCGTGGCCACCGTGGTCGGCAACGCCTTGGTGATGCTGGCCTTCGTGGTGGACTCCAGCCTGAGGACGCAGAACAACTACTTCCTCCTCAACTTGGCCATCTCGGATTTCCTAGTAGGTAAAGTACCCCGCCTCGCCTTCCTTATTGACCTGCCTCATCTAAAGACATTAAGGCAGGCATGGGCCAACTTCGGCTCCTCCAGGTGTTTTGGACTTCAATTCCTAACAGCCTACCGGCTGTTAGGAATTGTGGGAGTTGAAGTCCAAAACACCTGGAGGGAAGGCCGAAGTTGGCCCATGCCTCCATTAAGTAGACCAAGTATGGGCAAACCCAGATGTGGCCCCTTGGGGTCTTTTCTCAGGCTCTCCTCTCTCTCACCATCCTATCCTTCCTTCCTTCTTTCCTTTCCTTCCTTCCTTCCTTCTTTACCTCCCTCTTTCTCCTCCCTCCTCCTTCCTTCCCTTCCCTCTATCCCTTCCCTCCCTCCCTCTTTCTTCTTCCTTCCCTCTCTCTCTTTCTCCTTCCTTCCCTTTCTTTTTCTTCTTTCTCTCTTCCTCCCTCCTCTCTCTCCTTCCTTCCTTCCTTCCTTCCTTCCTTCTTTCCTCTCCTTTCCTCTCCTCCTTCTTTCCCTTCCCTCTTCATCCCTTCCTTCCCTTCCCTCTTTCCTTCTTCCTTCCTTCTCTCTCTTTCTCCTTCCTTCCCTTTTGTCTTTCCTTCCTTCTCTCTTTCCTCCCTCCATTCCCTTCCACCCTTCCTTCCTTCCTTCTCTTCCTCCCTTCTTCCTCTCTCTTTCTCCTCCCTCCTTCCTTCCTCCACTCTTCCCTTCCTTGCTTCCTCCCTCTTTCCTTCTTCCTCCCCCTCTCTCTTTCTCCTTTCTTTCCTTTTTCTTTCCTTCCTCTTTTCTTCCCTTCCATTCCCTTCCTTCCTTCTCTCTTTCCGTCCTCTTTACCTCCCTCTTTCTCCCTCCTTCCTTCCATCCCTTCCATCCTTTCACTCTTCCTTCCCTTCTCTTTCTCCCTCCTTCCCCTCCCTCTTCTCCTTCCTTCTTTTCTCTTCTTCCTTCTCTCTTTCCTCCCTCCATTCCCTTCCTCCTTCTTTCTTCTTTCCTTCCTTCTTTACCTCCCTCTTTCTCTCCCTCCTCCTTCTTCCCTTCTCTCTTCTTCTCTTCCTCTTTCCTCTTTCCCTTCTTCCATCTATCTCTTTCCCCCTTCCTTCCCTTTTGTCTTTCCTTTCTTCTCTCTTTCCTCTCTCCCTTCCTCCTTTCCTCCTGGGGGATGTTTACCTCCCTCCCTCTTCCTTCTTTACCTCCCTCTTCCTCCCTCCCTCCCTCCCTTCCCTTCTACTCTACATTCCTTACTTCCCCCCTTTCCTTCTTCCTTCCCACTCTCTCTTCCTCCTTTCTTCCCTTTTGTCTTTCCTTTCTTCTCTCTTTCCTCTCTCCCTTCCTCCTTTCCTCCTGGGGGATGTTTAGCTGGGAGAAGAGAAAGAGAGGGAACATGAGAACCATGTTTCAAGATTTCAAAGAGTGTCCCATTGAGGAGGGGGAAAACTGACTTTCTGCTGCTCTAGAGACCAGGGCACAAGGGAGAAATGATTTCAACTGGCAGGAAAAGAGGTTTGACTGAAAAGATTAGGAAGAATTTCCAGAGAGTAAGAGCTGTTGGAGGGTGGCGTAGGCTGCCTGGGAATATGATGGAGTCTCCTTTTCTGGAAGCTTTTCCGCTGAGGCTGTCTATTGGGAGTGCTTTGATTATGCATCCTTGCATGCCAGGGGATTGGACTGAATGGCCCTTGGGGGTCTCTTCCAGTTTTAGGATTCTACAATTATACACCAGGAGTAGGCAATATGGGGTCTAATGGATACACTTTTTCTTTCCCTCCCACCATCTCATCCTGACCAAGGCTAACTCTTTTGGGATCTAAACGTTTCCCATCTTTTCTTCACTTTCTGCCTCTGAAATAGAAGAAGAGGAAAAGGCAGGGAAGGGGCTTGGGGAGAACTACTTTCTTCCCAGCCCACCCACCCTGCTCCAGCCTGCCATGTCATGTGTCCCCAAGCTAGAAAGTTTGCCCATGCCTGAAGGAGAAGAATAGTGAGATTAGATTGCTAAGGAGAAGACATTTCTCCCCAAATCACTTCCCAAGAGGAAGTAGGAGCAGATAAAGAGTCCAGTCCTTCCTCTTCTCACTCTTCAAGGCACAATTCCCATGGGTCCCAGCCTATTGATTGCAAAGGTTTGCTCTAGTTCAAACCATTTTAGAACAATGATTCCCAACCTGTGGTCCATGGATCACCAGTGGTCTGCAAGAATGAAAATATTGCCCGCAGCCTCACCATTACTACACCGTTGCCACGAAACCACGCAGCAACTAGAGCAACTGGTCTTGCAAAATCCTCTTATAATGCTGAGGCAATGGAGATGTCAGGAGGGGAGAAGCTGACTATCCATGAAAGATTACTACTATCACATCAGTGTTAGATTACTAAATATGGTTTTCTGTGAGCAAGCAGATGCATGCCATGTGTTCTGTATCAGAAACTAGAGCCGATGTGGTCTATCCAACTCAATTCTCAGAATCAGCTCCTCAAATAAACAAATTGAATCTAAAGGTGACCAAAAACTGAATCATAACCCATTTGGTACTAATGTTGGAGAGGAGCCCCCAGTGGCATAGTGGGTTAAACCCCTGTGCCGGCAGGACTGAAGACCATCAGGTTGCAGGTTCAAATCCGGGGAGAGACGGATGAGCTCTCTCTATCAGCTCCAGATCCTCATGCGGGGACATGAGAAAAGCCTCCCACAAGAATCATAAAACATCAAATCATCCAGGCGTCCTTGCAGACGGCCAATTCTCTCACACCAGAAGCGACTTGAAGTTTCTCAGGTCGCTCCTGACACGACAAAAAAAAATGTTGGAGAGTAGTTCCTGGTCAAGTGGCTTCTGATTTTAAAAAAACCCACTGATTTAGAAACTGGCAATAAATTCAAATTGCAGGAAAAGAGATTCCACCTCAATATTAGAAAAAACTTCATGATGGTATGAGTTGTTCCACAGTGGAATACTTTGCTTCAGAGTGTGGTGGAGTCTCCTTCTCTGGAGGCTTTTAAACAAGCTGGATGGCCATCTTTCAGGAGTGCTTTGATTGTGTGTTCCTTGCATGGCAGAATGGTGTTGGACTGGATGGTCCTTGTGGTTTCTTCCACCTCTGTGATTCTAGAATAGACTCATCTAATCAAACAGGTTCAGAGAAGTGTTTCTTGCCATTCAACAGTTACTTCTGCACTTCCCTTGTGTTGGCATGGCCAACAGGCTTTGGGCTGTTTACAATTGCTTCTAGACCTTGGAAAGATTGAGAATGATCATGTTGCATTTTGTAGCTAGATTTTTTTCCCTAGGGTTGTATCACTTCAAGCAGGAGCGAGACAAATACAAAAGCAGGTGGGTGGGAGGGTAGAATTTGGAACTACGTGTGATTGTCAAGTTTACATAACACACTTTCCTTCCTCAATGAAGTCTTCGTATAGACACATGTCATCCTCTATCTTTAGATTATTTATGTAACTGATTGGGTTTGATCTAAAGGGAACCCAAACAGATTGGTTAAGAGGTAATCCTGTTTGGTACCAAAGGAGTTAGGTTCCAAATCAGGCTGGATCTTCCCATATTCAAGAACTTTGCATCCACTGTGTTGAGTTACAGGTTATGCTTCCTAGTCCAGCAAATGCACTCCCGTATGTGTACAAACACATGGAAATGACTTAAATAATAGATCATCAATACTTGCAGTGACAAAACCATCCTCCAAAAAGGGAATGGGATGTGAAAAGGACAAGGAAGCAGTTGGGACTTCTCTTAATTTTTTCGACCCTGCAGTCACCATGGCTGCAGACTTTCACCGGTATTCCATCCATTTCACTGTCCTTCTTGAGATTTCTTTATGTGCACAGCCCTAGCTCTAAAATTCTTCTTCAAATGTTCTGTATATGCCCTGGAGTTGGAAAGCATAAAGCAGTGGTTCTCAACCTTCCTAATGCTGCAACCCCTTAATACGGTTCCTCATTTTGTGGTGACCCCCAACCACAAAATTATTTTCGTTGCTGATTCTTAACTGTAATTTTGCTACTGTTATGAATCGTAATGTAAATATCTGATCTGCAGCATGTATTTTTCTTCACTGGACCAAATTTGGCTCGTATATCTGATAAACCCAAATTTGAATACCGGTGGGGTTGGGGAGTGGGGGATTGATTTTGTCATTTGGGAGTTGTAGTTGCTGGGATTTATCGTTAACCTAAAATCAAAGAGCATTCTGAACTCCACCAAAGATGGAATTGAACCAAACTTGGCACACAGAATTCCCATGACCAACCTAAAATACTGGAAGGGCTTGGTGAGCATTGACCTTGACCTTTGGAGTTGTAGTTCATCTACATCCAGAGAGCACTGTGGACTGTAACATTGATGGATCTGGACCAAACTTGGCATGGATACTCAATATGTTCAAATGTGAACACTGATGGAGTTGAGGAAAATTAGACCTTGACATTTGGGAGTTGTAGTTGCTGGGATTTATAGTTCACCAAAGAGCATTCTGAATCCCACTGATAGAATTGGGCCAAACTTCCCACACAGAACCCCCATGAGCAACGGAAAAGAGTGTTTTATGATGGTCTTTGGTGACCTCTCTGACACCCCCTTGCGACTCCCCCCCCAGTGGTCCTGACCTCCAGGTTGAGAAATGCTGCATCAGGTAGATAGATAGATAGATAGATAGATAGATAGATAGATAGATAGATAGATAGATAGATAGATAGATAGATAGATAGATAGATAGATAGATAAACAGATAGAGCAGCTAGCATGGTATCAAGACAGAAAGCAAGCATATTGATCGCTAACTGGCCATATACAGCTAAGGATTATGTAGAAGAAATTCTGCCAACATCTATCTCAGCAACCCCAATATTGTGACTCATTCCTGGGGTGACTTCCAACACTTCCAGTTTTAAATGAATAGTGTGTACTGTTTTCTTTATTCTTTTGCAAAGGAGGAGGAATCTCTTCCTGTGACTGATAGAAGATTTTGCCCATCCTGCTACATGCTTTGATCAAGG